ATTTAGTATTAGTATATTCTATTGTTATTTCAGGTATTAAGCTGTTCTTTTCTCAAACCATGAGTTTTACTTGTTTTCGATTCTTCTCACCCCACTGCGTGTGGGGCAGAAGAATGAGCTGCCGTGTGGTGCTCAGTTGCTGACTGGGGTTGAACCACAACAAAAGCAAATTTGTTGTGAAATTCTGTTTGTTTTTTTTAAAACAGAACACTAACTCATTAAGTTTGCTGCTATTGAGAGCTTGTCTTTTCTGTTCTTGCCGTAGAATTTTGCCGGTAATACATGGAACTAGTGCAGTGTGTCAGCTTGGTTTTCTGTGTGCCATTCCACCAAGTTTTCACATTTTAGTAACTCAGACTTGCCCTATAAAAGCTGAAATATCAAAGTTTTTTTAAAGTATAAATATGCAAAGTCCTTAACAGTGATTCCTTCTTACCTTAGCAATACCCTAGCCTAAGGCTGATGTGACTGTATGTAAAAGACAACTTGAAAAATGCTGCCAAGACCACTAAGTCAGAAAAATCTTCATTGCTGAAGATTAAGGAAAAAAAAAAATTGGATAAATGGGAACTGGGTAGTGACTACATGGATGTGTTTGGGAAACAGAGCTGCTATTAGAGTACATGTTAATGTGATTGTTTTCCTGGAATTAAAAATGAGATATTTTGCTAACTGGCCGTGTATAATTGCATATTTTAAGATTCCATCACTAGGTGTGTACCTGGCTTGGATATGTTGTTGTGAAATGATATCCAAAAGACACCAATAGCCCAAACTGCCCATGAAATCACGTCATCATGTGTCTATTTTAAACAAATTTCTTTCTGGTGTTTATGAATGTCCATTTCTACTGCAGATGGTTTCAGTGCCTGGGCACACACCGAAAGAGGAGGTGGTGTCTGCACTCCTGAGCTGACATTGGGCTCATTCCACCCCCAAAGTCTGCACAGAGTCAGTTCATCCATGTGAATGAACCATTCAGGGCATATCTTATTCGAAATGCTTTAGCTGGGAAAAAAAAAAATGCATTTTAAAGATAAATTTTGACAGCTTGTTGCTTGATAGAATGGTTTTATTTGTGTCTTCAGGACGTTGACCTGAAAGCATGTTGCGAAGCTTCGGATGCCTGCTCTCCACACCAGGATGATTGGCTGGAACTGCAAGAGGAGGAGGAAGACATAAATCAAGTACATGATGGAAAAAATAGAAGGGAAAACTGTGAAGAGGAGGTGAGGGAGGATATAGGTCTTATCACTGAGATAAAAAGCAGTGAAAGAAATTACGTGAATGATTTGGAATGGAATATTTGATTTCATCTTTATTTGAACTGTACCTTGTAAGAGCTGGAAAGGAACAGCAACTTCAGACAATGCTTTGTGAATGATGCTCTCATACACCTTCTCAAAAAATTGCTGCCCCCCCCTCAGTTTATGTACTTGAAATGTTCTCAAGTTTACAGAAATCACTTGCAACTAACCATTTTTCAATTTGGTTTTATTTTCTCTGTTATTAAGTTATTGTGTTGGTGGGCAAGGATTTTTTGGGTCTACAGATGCTTGAAATGTGGACGCTAAATTATACTGCTTGCAATATTTGTGTAAAGCTTGATGCTCAGGTGTAGAATTATATTTGGGAAACTGGATTGTTCAGATCTTAGCATGTGTATTGTAACTAGAAGGCAGAGAAATTGATGTAACTAGAAGGCAGAGAAATTAATTTTCTAACAGTTTAACACCTTGATCTAGCTTCACCCTGATGTTAAACAGAAACAGGTGCATTTGGGGTTTGGTGTCTCTGAGAGCCACAATGAAAAGAACATTCATTCTTCCTGAGACCTTTTGAAGGCTGAGAACATCAGACCCTGTTTACTTGGTGGCCTCTCAGTTCACCACTGCCCTGGCAGCTCGTGTTGCTGTTTTCAAAGGGAAAGGTTGCAAAAACGACAAAACCTATCTACATGTAGATAAGCAGGCGCTTCTTTATTGCAGCACTGGGAAGCCCAGGAATCACCCAATGCTTCGAATACATCACAAAAATTCAGTCTATTTATACGTCTTTTTTCTTGCAAAGTCACTATCTTTAACATATTTTAACATAAACGTACATACAATGCCCACTATTAACTCTGACCTTTACAATGATTGGTTCATCCCTTATCGATATTCCTATATCCTATTTCCATACAATCATTGGCCATTGGGGTGAGACCACATTTGATCACAAGGCACAAAATAGGGAGGTAGGGAGGCATATCCCCGTGAAATATGCATGTATTGATCTGTCTAAATGAAATATGCCGGTATTGTTATTAAAGTGCAGGTGCAGTGACATAGAGCTGGCCTTAACAAGTATGAAACATTCCCGGCCAGTTTTGCAACTTGCACCAGCTCTAGCTCCAGCCAAGGCCTACACGTGACTTCTTAGCAGAAGTAGAGGTTTATATTCCTTAGCTATTAATTAAGCAATTAGCTCCTTAAAATTTAAGTTTGATTACAACACTCAGATTTGAAAAAATACTTGATTTTTCCACAATGGTGGGTAGGTGCAGCCTCAGAGAGGAGGAAAGCCCAGTTCTGCTATTGTGGGGCAGAGTAGGGATGTGCCTGCTGTGGAGTTACTCTGTTTGTTCAAGCAACACGACATCTCCCATCATGATGAAGACTTGGTGGCAGGGTCAGCAGCAATGCTTCCCAGAGCTGTGCTGTTTCAGATTTTGGTTCTTTTATGTAAAATAACTGTGCTTTACAAAGTGCTTCTGTTTCTTCTGTCATAGAGCAACTGCAACCATGTAGATTCACTTCCCTCCTTAGAGGGCTATTTACAGCTTCTGTCATCGGAGGTGGAAAACATGCTAGAGGTAAATGGGAAAACACATGTATAGCTAACGGATCGGGATACAGTCAGTGATTACTGGATGGTGACTTACTCTGCTTTGTCTAATTAAAACAGTGAATATCTCAGCAAATCAATGCAGTAAAACTTACCTGAAGAAGTTAAAGATGCTAGTATGCACCTTTTGCAGCAGCTGCCATTGACTATACTAAAAAATTTTCCTGAGTAATTTATCCAGGATTTGAAAACTGTGAAGTCCTGTCTTCTCTGTCACTTGGTACTCCAAGTTGGATGGAGCCCCTGGAGAACTGAAGTACTTCAACTAATAATTCCCCTTCTGAAACCTGATGCCAATTCATATTTGTACAGCAGCTCTCAGTGTGTTTCCCTAGAGCAACACAGAGTTATTAAACATTAGCAGCTATTAAGTGTTTATAGCCAAAGATTAGACTTGCCATAAATATTGGGTGAAGTGCTTATGAGGATACTACCCTCAAGAAGAACAGACTCATCTTCACTGCATATCAGGTCAGTCAGCATTAGCAGCAAAACCATTTTGTTTTCTGTTTTTTACCTTCTAGGCTTCTGATAACTATTTTTTATTTTCTTGGTGCCCATCTTCACAAAAAAAGTTATCTTAATTGGAGCCTCTCTCCTCTCCCACAGCTTATAGCTGCAAACATTAACCAAGAAGCTACTCCCTACATTCATTTTGTGCAATACTCCAAGGGCATCTTACATTCACTTCCAATTGTAGGAGCCTTACAGGGTTTTTAGTGGTTTTTATATAACTTTATGTTTTTCTTCAGAATAGTTTTGGGAATCTCTAGCTTGGCTAGTGCCTCTCAGCCCATAAGTCTCTTCCTCTGTTCAGCTTTGGTAATGGATTTCATATTAACAAATGTCATCAGTTTAGTTTTCTCTGCTCTTTTCATAATTTGAAAGCAGTTTGGCTGTAGCCTTTATGTAGCTATAACAACACACAGTTGTACATTTTATTTAAGACTACTAATGCACTGCCATCTTGTGACAATCTAGGTGTTGAAAATTGATTACTTGTTTTTTCCAGGTACCAAGTCTTTACAATGTGGGTGATTTTTTTTAACAGTTAACTTGCTAAGAACGTTTCTTTCCAGGGGCTTAATTAAGGAAAATACAATCTCTCTCAGACTCAGATGGTCTAGTACAAGGTAACTACCTGAGAGAAGTAAGGCAAGATTTTCTTGTTACACAGGCTCTCAGTAAGCATAGCAGAGAACTTAAGATGTTCTAGCCTTTATGGTATGTCATACCTTCTCTGTGGAAAGTGATTTTTACACTGTTTATTCAATGAACTGCAGTCAGAAAAGCCCTTTCCTGCATCACAGTAGGGATGCTCAGGAGGAATCATATCATACGCTTCCTACTTACTGTATTTACATTCTCAAATTTTCTGTATCCATGTATTTTATGACTGCTCTACTTATCAACAAGTGCCCTGACACAACCTTGCACAGTGACTTCATCCTTCTAGAACCCAGCAACTATAACCCAGGCCCACAAAAGGTGTGCCTTAACGCTACTGCAGGGCTTGTTTTTTGTCTGTATTTCAGGGCTGAAGGATCATACAGCAGCTTTATTTCTGTAAAGAAAAACTGAGTAGTAATGTAAAGTCAAAAGACATCCACAGAACGTGTCATTTGGGGGGCAGGGGGAGTGTTTCCTGCAAACTGATTAGTGAAGGAATTGAGTTGAAATCTGAACACAACAGACCTCAGTCAAAAAGGAGCTAAGCCAAATGTGGCAGCTCACAGCCCCAACAGCTTTATAAACTGTGAAAGAAAAGGAGCGGGAATGTGCCAGAACAACCTTAATGTTCCTGTCCTCCTCCTCTCATTTCTTACATCACCATTCTTACTGGTTAAGCCCTGCCAGGGAGCTAGTTAGTTTCTTTATGAGGTTAACACCTCGATCTAGCTCACCCTGGATTCAGGTGATCATCAAATTCACCATCCTTCGCAAGTCCTCCTCCTCCCATCCCTTCAGTCACTTTCCTGCTGCACCCTTCCCGCTTCCTCTTGCCATATGCCAACACAGGTTATGCCACGTATTCATAGTATTCAGGGTAGCTAGAAGAAGAGTTTAGCACATACAACATCAACTTTAAGAGATTAAAAGAGTGGAATATTAAAAAATTGAGCAAGGCAGTGTAGGTGTGGAATATAAAGGCATTAAATTTATAAAAGACCCCATTTTCCCCTCCATCATATTTTAGGTGAGTTTACTGGAAGATCTACAAGTTGCTACTTCTAGTAGAGGCCAAGACCCATCATCCTCGCATGACAATATAAGTTTGACCCAGACGCTCTGCCACTGTTTCAGTCCTCATGATGCCACACTACTAAGAACAGACTACCCCACACAATCAAATTCAGAAACAAGACATTTAAAAAGGCAAGAGTCTTTTCCTCAGTCAAGCTCTAATGTCACAAATCCAGAATTGCTACTTCATGGGACGAATCTGACAGGACTTTTTTCAGCTGCTGACATTAGAAACCTAACAGCCCATGATGATAATTTTGATCAAGTTAAACTCATGTCTTTGACATTGGAGGAAGGCTTTGATCCTATAGAAGCTTCTCAGCTCTTTGAAGAACCTGTGTCAGATTTGGGCCTGTCTCTGCATTCAAGTCACAGCACCACCTCTTACTCAGTCTGCAGTGAAGATGCTGTTGGGTACAGCAGTGATGTTAAATCTGCTTCTTCACATGGCTTGGGTGCTGTTGGTGGCCGCTGCCAAGAACATAGTAAGTACGGCCATGTGGAATATCCAGGTGATTCAGAGTGTTCTAGAGAAGCCACACTTCAGCAGTTTCATCATAACCACACTTACGATCAGCTGCCAACTCAAGCAGTATCCACTCCGGAGCATCACCAACAGATGTGCATGAAGAAAGCAAACAAAGCAAAGGATAGGTGTGATAATTCTACCAGTACAAACCTTAGCAGTCACGAACACCATGCAAAAACTCTGAGAATACCATTTTCAGTTGATGAAATCGTGAACATGCCTGTTGACTCTTTCAACACCATGGTAGCAAAGAATCATCTGACGTATACGCAGGTATCACTTCTACGTGACATTAGACGAAGGGGAAAAAACAAGGTCGCTGCGCAAAATTGCCGCAAACGTAAACTGAATGAAATTCTTAACCTGGAAGAAGACATAAATAATCTCGAAACACAAAAGGAGAGCCTTAAGAAGGAGCACTCTCAGTATAGCAAATCAATCAGCCAGATGAAGCAAAAGTTAAATAACTTGTACCTTGACATTTTCAGTAGATTGAGGGATGACCAGGGTAAACCCATTAACCCATGTCAGTACATCATTCACTGCAACAGCGACAGCAGTGTTATCGTAATACCCAAACACTTGGTCAAATCGGAACAGAAACAAGATAAAAAAGAGTAGAAACAAAAATAAGACAGCTGAAGATCACGGAGGCTTTATTGTTTCCTGAGAGAACAATACGGGTATTTATGTGAAGAAGGGAGGTCAGTGATTACAGTATTACAAGTGGAAAAAACTACACGGGAGGAATTCTGCATGTTCAAGAGTCTGGCTACTCCAGCTGGCTGTGATCAATTAGAAAGTCTGCCAGCTGAGGCTTCTGAATGAGTAAATCGGTTTAAATTAAAGGAGCTAGCCCATCAGTGTAAATGCAGTTATATAGACCTATATAAGACTGGGAATTTAGTTTTCTGGTGATGGCGGAGGGGGAAGAACATCAGTAGGTGGAAGAAAGTAAGCTTTAGATCAAAGTTACAGACACAAGAAAAACACATTTTAGTCTGGAGTACTCGGTATGTCATGCACAAAGTGACCTTATTTTATTACTATTTAGCACTGGAAGAAAAACTGTAGCTCAAGTTCATCTTCACCTTAAATTCACTGCGGATTTATGTATTCCTAAATACTCCATATACTTTGTATTTGTTCAGAAGTGCTCTGCTTTTCCTTGTTTCCCTTTGACGGCCCACAGGAGGCTATTCCATTTTTTCTCGCTATTTTCACTATCGTAGCTCCACGCAAACATACTGTACAAATTAATTTCACAACTCATATGGTCAATCTGCAAATATTCTGGAAAACTAGTATCCAATTCAACAGCCTTACCTTCATCCCCTGCAACTGAATCATTCTTAACGTTCTTCCATAAAAATGCGGGATGGTGATCCTATTCTGTTTCCTAGTCTGTGATATATTTACTTGTGTACTTTCCTTTTCCTCCCCATTTGGATACCTTTCTCAAGAAGTAGATTTTTTGTTTGTTTTCTTTTTAGCTTTTTTAAGCTGGTGGTATTTTAAGTACCTTTAGTGTTCCAGATCTATTTATATTTTTTTAGATTTTCCTCAAATCAAACCAAATTACTATTTATTTGTACTGGTGATAATGAAGTTACACTCCTACAAAGGCTTTGCATGAAAAGTAGAGCTTTTGGTTTTGATATTTATTTGTGCTACGAAAAAAGAAGACATTTTATTCATTCACATGCTTATTCACATCATCTTGTCCTTTTCTATTTTACAACCTAAAAAGGGTCTACAAAAAAGAGGGCCTGAAAGGCATGTCATGAGCGATATGGCAGGAATGTGAAGAGGTATACTAGTTTGTAAAATCTTGAAATAATTACTAATATTAATAACTAGATAGCAACAAATACTTTTTATATCTTTTATAAATAAAACCCATAAAGGTGGTATGAAAAAAGTCTCATTGGTCTCGGCATGATGATAGCAGAGCAACTTTATGGTCAGGCATGTTAAGAAAAGCACCTGCACCAAACACATGAAAACTATACATATACGCAATATAAGTTTAAATGCAAAATTATACCTTTTGAAGACATAAACTATAGTATTAGCATGTAAATCATGTTCTGTTTACAGCATCAAGTAGTATTTTCTAAAAGGGAAGCACTGTCTCTGAGGACAAAATGCACTGAATTGATAATGAAATCAGCCAGTCTGAACACTTTTCTCTGTATTTTATAAAACAAAATAAAGTATTTTGTTAAATAAAGGCGTGCATATTTTTAATTATCAGAGTCTCAGAATGATAGGGTGAACGCATGGCAGAAACTTTCCTTAGCGAGGCCTTGAAACGTCTTGCTCTGGGGTGAGCACCAGTCTGAAGCTTATCTATCCTACCTGGTACAAGGAATTTATTTAATCATTAGTTCACAAACTTCAACCAAAACATGCCAACAGGCAGGACACATATGATGAATCATGACCTTAATTTCTTGTTCTGGGAAAAAAATTAAATTACCCGAGTGTTTTAAATTCTACACACATAGCCTTTGCAGGACCAGGCCTTTACTTCATGGCCTACGTGCACAAATCCTGATATTAGATTAGGCCCATAGTATTTGTGTCTTAGGCCCTCCCTCATAACACAGGTTTCTACAGCCCTAAAAGCGAAAGGAGGGGAAAAAGAGAAAAAAAGGCTAAACCTTTTGATGCCTGCTCCTTTCCACAGTAGTAGCTCTGCAGACTCTCGTGAAGCCAGCTACTACTAAGGTAAAGCAAACATGGGGAATAGGGTTAAATTTTGGCATGTGCTGGAAATAAGGAAACATGTTGGAACTCTTTTCAGAGAGCAGTCCCAATAGAAAGCAGGGTAGCCTCTGCTCCATGCTTCAGTTTTATTCAAGTCAGCTTTTTACAGTAGCTGCATGTTACAATACACTTCCTGCCCAAGAGCTTACAATCTAGATTTAGGTGGGTAACCAAAGTACTGAACTTCTAAGAGGGAAGGGCAAACCAACTCCATTTACATCAGTTTTCACAGCTCAGTCTTTGTCCCAGAATACATATGCTGCTTTTCTATCTTATGGGAGTCACAAGTGTGGTTCTAAAGAGGCCTATAAATGAGGCAACAGGACACTTGGTACCGGGTTCTATTAACTATTTATTAAATAAACCAAATAGATATGACACACGTAACCACGTGAAGTCTTACTACTGTAGTGTACCTCATGAAAGTGCTGCCACTCAATACCTGCTACACAGGTACTAGAACTCCATTAAATGCATCAGCCATAGATTTTCATGCAAGAATACCCTAAAATGGGAAAAGGGCAGACCAAATACGTGGAATCGGCGGGTGGTGTGGTGGAAGGAAATCATGTTGGTGAGAACTTAGGGGGAATAGCAATTTTCTAGGACTTGCCCATCACTTTGTTCATATAACAAAGCAGCACGGGAAGTCACACAGGCTAGGCTGTAAAACTATGTGGACCCCAAAAGCTGTCACCCTGATACATTCATAGCACTGTTGGCCATTTAAACAAATCCTTTTCTTGTCAGCAAATAAACCAGTTCTTGCTACATTAACTGGAGTAACTTCTGACAACACTGAAACTTCAGCTGCAACGCAAATCGACACAGAGAACACAACCGTGACAAGGGACAGCATGACTTCTGAAAAAGTGATCGACAGGACCAGCCCTCCGTGGCACACTCCAGGCATTCCTACCAGTATCGCTGTGTAAGGAGGAGAGAACCCGGCCTCTCCCTTCGGAGGGGAAAAAACTAACAGCGCTGCTGTGGGATTCCACTGGCACCATGCACTCCTTGCACACACACCAGAACACTAAAGCTACACTGCTGTGTTGTCAACACATCACACTCTCTCAGTTCTCAAGCAGCCAGATCACACTCAACTGACAGCTCCTTCAAAATACAGACCTATGTTTTGGGGGGTTTTCTTCCCCAGTAGTATGACTTCATCCCTAAGAAAGTATGTACATTCATCATCAAAGCTCTTCCCCACAGGTGACAAAGTTCAATTCTTGAAAAATTTACAATATTGAGAGCGCTTTGTCCCATTTTCCCAAACACTTTTCACCACCTGAAGCACAAGTAATATGAACAAATAAATTCAACTTTCATTGTAAGCAACCCAGAGAACACAAGTCTGACTGGCGAGCATCCTAGTATTGACCTCTTTCCACCATCACTTCATAAATTCAAGCCACACACTGTGATTTTTCGGGTTTTTTTGCTTCCATGCCAGTTATCACCAAGTTATGTTGTCTTTCATATTCTTCCCTCAGTTTGCTGCAGAAAGTGTTTGCTGGGGAGCTGGGCCTAGCCCAGCCTGACCCTCGGTTCTTAGTACACTGAAACACAACATTAACCTTATTTTGAAAGCAGAAAGTCTATAGAGTGACATGAAAACAAAGAAAAGCATATATTGTCCACAAATTGAGGACCAGTAATTGACCACACACTTTTTTTTTATTTGAAGTTGCTAGCTTTCCGTATCAGACTGACTCAAAATGGTTAATTCACCAGTAAACACTGTGATTGTCACTTGCTTTAATTCTTAAGAACATGCCAAGAAAGCGAAGTCAAAGTTCAACAATAAAACACAGAAAACTTGCTCAAATACTCCAAGCTTTCAAGACTTTGAGATATCCAGTAACTTAGTTTTTGCATATTGCTCTCCCTGATATGCTCCCTTCCCCCACCACCAGCAGATCAAAATTAAAACATCCTCATATGGAAAACATAATTTCACTGAATTCTAAATGCTGCTGCAAAACGACTGAGACTCTAAATATCTTAAATAGAAAGAGAAAATAATTATTCCCCTTTGAAGTGTTTTTTTTAAAATGTCATATGAATGTGGACATGGCAACTGCAAAGAAAAACTTCCATCAACTAAATCTAAGTTATAGGAAAGAAGGCAAATTCCTTATTGTCTGGTCAACTCATTCTGTTGGAAGGAAAAAAGTAAAGTAGATTTTGTGCGTCTTCATTTTCTGCTTCTGTTGCAGCACACTGGTTACCTATACAAACATTTCAAATTTCAACTTAAGAAACAGGAAAAAGAAGTCATGTGAATCCTTAAATAGTATTTTTGAATTACATAAAGAAGGTTAAAGACATGAATTCTGCCAAAGCTGAGCATGTAAATTTCAAGTTTAGAATAAACCGTGCATGTAGGTAACAGGTTCAAACAGTACACGCTGAAGACAACTTCCCTCAATACACTCCCCAACTGAAGCTTGGCCAAGCGCACACTTGGGAGTTTGGTCTGGTGGGTTTTTTTGGGTTTGGTTTTTGATTTTTTTTCTGTTTCCCTCCCACCCCCCAAGATGAAGCTACCCATAATACAGTTATGGTACAGCAGGAACTCTACATTCCATTCAGTCTTTCTCTCTCGCTGCTAAAAGCTCTTTACAGGTGAAAAGGATAAAGCTACTGCCCTATCACATTTTGACAAACTATCTTAAGTGGTTAGTTTCATTAACAGGAAAGGAGTTATTTTTATAAAGTGATATAAAACACAGCCAAAAAGCTACTTTTAAGCAATTGTGTCCAACAGCAAAAGATGAGCATTTTTAATTTATAGCACTGTTTCTCCCAACAGAGAACAGATGCCTATGGTCAGAGATGCA